CGCCCGAGTCACGTGATCAGACTTCCCGTCCCTCGGGAGTCCGTGGGCTGCGGGTGAGCAGGCGCGCTTCTCTGGCTGTCCTCCGCCGCGGCCGTACTGGTAGACGGTCATGTCGTCACGGCTTTCGTCAGGCTGTGGCGTTCCGCTGCTCCAGGTACTTTGGACTGATGCTGTACGGTGGCCTCACTGTGCCAGAAACAGCCAACGCGGCCTCTAGCGTGCTTCCTGTTAGGTGCCTGCAAATCCGCGCGAGTAGGTGGCAAGCGCGCGCGGAAGCCTTAGAAGTGTCAGGTTCGGTCTTCCCAGACCTTTGGAGTGCCCTTTGTCAGCCGGTCACGCCGCAGTTCACTGAGCACCTGTGTGTGCTTGAGGTCACACACTGGTAAGCCCTTTCCTTGGAAGTTCACACAGTTTGTGGGGTCCTGGAAGGAACATTGCGCCGGGAGTTAGGAGGCTCATGTCGTCATCATAGCCCTGGCACTTCATGGGAGTGACCTTCAAAGAGTTACTGGTGTCTGAGCCCCAATCCCTGTCGGAAAAGTAACCCCTTCCTTTCCTTGCACGTGTTCCTCTGTGTTGTAAGTGATCCTTACGACACTGGTTCTAATTTGTGAACTGGAACGAAGGCAGGCAACAGATGTGAGGAATTGATGGAAAGGAGCAAGGTCAGCATGGGCAGGGTGGCACCTCGGGAGACTTGTAAAATATGTTACGTACACGTCACTAGGGGTAGCCCAGGAGGTAACCCCAGCACACCAGTGTAATGGCATCATCTCTAGTGGGTGTCCTGTGTGTTTTACCCGCTTCTCAGATTGTCAGCAACCACACCTTCACACGTCAGCAAACAGGCGTGTCAACCTTTTGACGTTGCAATACGTTATCATCTACAAAGTTCACTTGGAGAACCACTTAGTTGAGTTACCATGAAGAAAAACTGCAAAATATCCCAATTTTAAAAGTAAGTTTATGATTCTGTGTTGGGTCGCATTGATAGCTATTCTCACCCACACATGCAGTTGTGGGCTCCAGGTAGGTGCCTCCAGGGGGCTCAGAGTCTGGTGGAGGATAGAAAATGGAAGGTGACATAAGCATGAGGGACTTTTTCCCCTTCGGAGGAACCAGGGATGGCTTCACAGACCAAGTGTTAGACCTGGGTCTTAGAGGAATTTGAACCAGTGGAGGAAGTCCACCACAGCAGCTGGAAAGATTGTAAAAAGGTCAGGTACTGAGCCTGTTGGTGCAAATCTTCCCTGCCAGGTGCTCAGTTCATGCACAAGGGACAGATTTTGGATCAAGGGGTAGTGATAAGGCCACGGTATGGTTTAGAACAATTCAAGCAACAGTTGGGGAAAGGGCATTTACCTCAAAATTATGTTTGCCAGGGTTTCTGTGAATTCCTATTCAAATCTATTACTCAAAAAATAAATAAACCAGGCAGGCATTCAGTGTGTTCATAAACATAAATAATTAATTTCAGATTAGAATGGGAAGGTTATTCTCTTGTGGGGGAGGAAACATAAAGAGAAGAGAAAGATTAAAATTAAACATACAATTGGGGCATAACTAACTCAGTAGAGTGAGAAAACCCTCATCACCACAATACTCAAGTCTGGAGTGGAGCCAGTCTTTTCTAACTGTGCTTCCAGCCGCTGAGTGGGCCCCTGGTTCCTTGTCAGAAAACCCCCAAGGCTTTTCTTGGCTATTCTTGGGTGTTTGGTGGTGATCAAACCCTTCTTTAAAAAAAAAAAATTAGAACTCGTGAATTTAGCCTTCCATTCCTGTCTACATCCATCATACTTTTTATTCTTTGTTCAGTCCCTGGGCTCTGTTGCCTTTTCTGCCTAGATGCCTTCCCTGAGCCCCCTAAGCAAAATTGACTCTTCTTGCCTGTGCTTTCCCAGACATAGTTTTTGGGGCACTTCTGACCTCTTCCTCTATGTTATAGTCACTCATAACGGCATCTCTTTCCCACTGCCACCTCCCAAAGACAGAGTTGTCTGATCCATTCCTGGCCCTTTAAGTCAAGGTTTGGCTCAAAATGGATTGTGAATGTTCCCCCAAATGAAATGCTGGTGGGGAGCTGGGTGAGGGTGTAGCTCAGCAGTGAAACACTTGCCTAGCACACTTAGGCCTGAGGGTCTGGGTTTGGGGGAATTGCTGCTGATGCCTCTGCATGAACACCCCCCACTTGTGCCCCAACTGCACTGGTAAAGTTGCACCTCAACTGTTCAATGGCTCTCCCCAGAGAAGGTCACCTGTGGTCATGACCTTTAACAAGGGTTCAGTGACCTTCCTTTCTGTTCTGCTCTTTTCCCTGGCCTCTGCAGTCATCTGGGCCACTCCCTGTCACACTCTCCAGGCTTTGACCCTGGGCCAGCGACTACTCATTCCCTGAACTTGTAGCATTGTTTTGCAGGCCCTGGATTGTGGAATGTGAAATCTCGTCCTCTGGGTCTAGAAGATGATGTCCGTTCATTCTTCATTGCTCAGTTCCAACAGCTTCCTTGTCCCTGCTGTCCCTGACCTGACCTCAGGCCCGCAGAGCCCTCTGTGCCGACAGCCTTGCCCCACCACCTATCCCAAACTGCAGGCTGAATGCGAGGTCTGTCAGCTCTAAGCCCTACTCCTTTTCTTGGTTCATTTTCAACTTTTTTTCTTTGCAGAACTGGAGATGAAATGCAGGGCCTTGCACATGCTAGCCAAGTGCTCTTCCCAGAGATACGTCCCAGGCCTCTTGGCTCATTTTCAAGCCTGCTTCCACCAAGCAGCTCACCCATATCTGTAAACAGCAATCAAGGTTAACCCAGGCCAGCCTGAGAGATTGTCTATTCTGTTCTGCTTATTCATTTATTTTCATATGGGGGGAAGCCACTAAATTAGTGACTTTCAGCCTTGTGCATATTAGAAATCTTTTTAAAAACAAGAGCTGAGAGTATAGCTCAGTTGTAAAGCATTGGCCTAGTATGTGCTTAACCCTGGATTCCATCTCCAGCACTGCAAAACAAAACCCAAAGCCTGCCAGAGATTCTAAGTTAATGGGTTTGCAGTGGGAACTGAACCATAGTATGTGTCAAAGCTCCCCCGAGGTACTGAGGTTGAGATTAACAACATGGACTCCTCTTGCCCTCAGTGCTCTTGGAAGTAAGAATCACCTGAACTTGGCAAGTACCACAGACCTGTGGCATTGGCATCACCTGGGTGCTCTGAGCAATGTGGATCCCGGCAGAAGGGAGCCAGGGCTGGTATTTAACAGGCTTACCAGATGATTGAGTGCACAATGCAGGTTAAAGAGATTGAGACTCTAGATCTTAGGAGTATGACTAAAAATTTCATCTCGGGAGGGATGAAGTAACACCTATAATCATAGCACTCAGGGAAACTGAGGCAGGATGATGAGAGCTCATGGCCAGTCTGGGAGCAAATTTAAGGTTAGCTAAAAAACAAGCACAAATGCAGATGTCCCAGTCTCAAGGTAGATCCACTACTAAGAATTCCCAGGAAAGAAACCAGTTGACAGGAGTCAAATATATTATTTATAATATATTTATATATTAATAATATATATATTTCCCTGAGTCCCAAGTTATTCTCAGGGAATCTGGGGAAACAACAGCTCCAAATTGGCACCACAATAATGACCTTTAGTTTGAAACCCAGGAACGTGTAAGGCACTCACAGTGCATTCGAGAAAAGCAGCCCCATCCTAAGGAGGAATGGTCAGCATTGCTTGAAGTAGGTGTCTGCCAAGTGCTGAGGGTGATGACGGAAGGGAAGGCCACCTGGAAGAGGAGATTCACCAAAGAGCACATAAAACGTGAAAATCAGAGGGAATAATCATTTCATAGTTGCTTGGAAATCCCAGGAGTATTGTGCAAATGTTTGTTGTTTTATTAACTGGCCTTTTACTAGATAAAAATGTGTATTTCCCAAGTATGTGTCCAAGGGAAAGCATACCATGGGCAGAAGTGTCCAAAGGAGGCGACACCAGGCTGCCCCTTCTCCCTGTTGCTGTCCTTCAACATTGCCTAAGGCACACCCAAGAACAAAGCCCCTGGTAAATCATGGTTCAGAAAGATTGGTGACCTGTGAGTAGGATCAGGAGATACCTGCCTCACTTGGTATCTGAGTGACACATACTTGGGAAATACACATTTTTATCTAGTAAAAGGCTAGTCAATAAAACAACAAACGTTTGCACAATACTCCTGGGATTTCCAAGCAATTATGCAATGATTATTCCCTCTGATTTTCACATGTTTTATGTACTCAGAACAGTCCCTTGACCTGTTTTTAGTGGGCGGTGAGGTAGGCCTTCACCGCCTCCATGGCCAGAGGTACAATTTGGTGGCTGATGCCTTACGCTTTCATGGTACTTATACAAGGCCCAGGGGGATGATGAGTTCCCAGGCAAAGTACCCTTTACCCTGGAGAACTGTCCCCAAGCTCTAATGCCCCAGGGGAGTTTGTGGAAAATACAGGTTCCTGGGGCCAACTCAAGATCTTAATCAAAATCATCAAACAAAAGGGCCCAGGGACTTGTAATATTCTAAGACCACGTGTGAACCTTATGGTCAGGCAAGCTGGGAAACACTGAACTAGACACAGCCTTCAGTGTGATGAGAATATTAGTGCCTGAATCCCAGAGCCTGCACCTCCTAGATGTGTGGCCTGGTAAAACCATGCAGAGTTGTGCATGCGGGTCCTTCCTGGTGTTCACTTTTGGATAGCCTGGAAGAGGCTTCCCTGAATGGTACAGCTCCCTCTATGGGAGCTCAAGGAGCCTGTTTCCCTCTCACTCCCAGGAAGATGGGGTGCTATAGTTCCCTCCAGATGCCATTCACTTCTGGACTGTGATGTTTCTCTGGGCCCCTGCTGCCAAGTCCAACCTTTGCTTTTCTACCATCACTTCATCTTCCGAAACTCCTTTTTCTA